TACAAAATTGCTCAATTGCTTCAATATGAAAACTTTTGTCTACAATAAAGTATTTCCATTAAAACACTATATAGCAGATATTCATACATTTCTCTATAAAATTATATTTAATTAAAGCAGAGATTACTGTGAATATTCAAAAAGGCAAGCTAGCACTGCATATTAAGTAGAAATGTTATGCAAACATTATGGCCACTGCCACTAACTGACAAGCACTGACTGTCTACTTGTTGAATAACAATCAAAGTTATATATTAACCAGAGGTATTTCTGGCTTATTGCTCCTTTTTGATAGTACAATCCATCAGAAGCAAACTGGATTAGAGAGGCTTTTCTCAGAATTTTAACAGGTGTTTATTTTAACTTGCAGATAGTCGACAATTGGGACCAGAATTTCCATTACTAGGCAAAGTGATTGCTAAAGTAAGTTGTGGTTGATTTTACAACCTATTTTGCCATGATCGTTAAGCAAATCATTGTATTTGTTAAATGAATCATTCAAATCTGGTCCCCTATTGACTTTGGTTGTCAAAAGCCAGCTGGGAAGGTAGCAAATTTAAGATCACGTAACTCTGGGATGCTGCAACCGTCGTAAATATGCTCTAGTTGCTAAGCACCTGAATTTGGACCATGGGGAAGCTGCAACAGTCATAAATATGAAGACTGGTCATAAGTCACTTTTTTGGTGTGATTGTACCATTTATCTCTAAACAAATGGTTGTAAGTCAAAGATTACCTCCACCTGGATGATGCAAATATGGAAACTGGCTAGTATTTTTGCACTTGCCACTTTCAAATAAATAAGCACATAATGAACCTAGTTAACATGACTGAGTTTTAGTTTAAAGAAAAAAGGGGAAGGAATATAATATCCAAAAGTTTTCATTGAAAGAGATTTGTACAATAGTCTTGTATGCTGTCAGCTACGCATAATGCCTAATACAGACATTCCAAAATCAATGGGATTTGCTTCTAAAAATTTAATCTAGAATTAAGGTGTTTCAAAATTGCTTCTTATATTTGAAAACAGTAAAAAAAAAAAACATTAAGTAGAATAGTCCTACATCACTCTACATTATAGTAGTCATATGCCTATATTATATTGATGGCCTGGGTTAATATAAAAAATGATTTGTTGAAGAATTGCTTCAGGAATTCCTGAAACAAAAATATTCAGACCAACAGTCACATTGTGTTTACATATTGTGTGCATAAAATCAGTCTATTTTCACAACTTCCAATATATTTTTAAAACATTATAGAGTTTATGAAAAAAAACTGTTGCAAGATGCTTCCAATGGTCTGATGTACTAGTACAAAGGCCAGAGATGTGTAATTACCTATGTAGTACCACCATATATTTAAGAATCCATGCTTTCTGCTTGGGAATATGAGCTGGTTAATAGATTTTCATGAAGCCAACCAATTTACATGTGAACTTGCTAAAATGAATATATTTCTTGCTAACTACCATACAGCTACAGATAGTCCTTGACATACAACCACAACAGGAAACAACATTTCTGTTGCTAAACAAAGCAGTTGTTAAGCGGGTCATGCCTGATTTTATGACTTTTTTTTTGCCACAGCTGTTAAGCAAATCACTGCAGTTAAATGAATCATGTGTCATTAAGTAAATCCAACTTCCTCCATTGACTTTGTTTGTTGGAAGCTAGCTGTGAAAGCTACAAATGGTGATCACATGATCCTGGAATGTGGCAACGCTTGTAAATATGCCAATTGCCAAGCAACTAAATGCTGATCATGTGATTGTGGGGATGCTATGATGATTGTTAAGTGTGAGTAACAGTTATAAGTCACTTTTTCCAGTGCCATTTAGTGATCTGAATTGGCACGAAATGAATGATTGTAGGTCAATGTTACATGTCTTGGAAACCTTTGGTACAAGTTTTGTAGCATCCGGTGAGTTTTCTTCAATCATTAGAGAAATAAGTTTAAGGACTTAAAACTTTTGGAATAAACAGCAAATGGATGATTAGAACTCTGATTTCAGAAAGTTAAGATGGATTTGAAATAAAAATTTGAAATTAATTATAAGAATCCTTTCCATGAGAAAATGCTATTCTTTTGAATTCTAATTCTTTCTAATTCTAATTTGTAATTGTAAATTGTAATTTGACAGGTGCAAACTAAAGGGAACAGAAGGTACTAAAGATAAAAGAGAACATTTAAATTTGATTTACTTTGCAGAATGGAGCAAAATACCTGAACATTGGATGCACTGAAGAATGTTTGGGAACAATGGATACAGAAGTGGATTTTAAGTGTGTTTGCCATTATAGACAAAAGATGTTATGGAATAGGAACAGGTTTCACTAGACAACACTAAGATTGATCGGGAAGTGCATTTAAAAATTACAATACAAGAATGATATGGAAGAAGATGCTATATTGGACATACAAATGAAAACCATTGATGTCTTAATATTTAAAGGGGAATATACAAATACCAAACAAAAAAAGTGACTTGGATTGGGACATTTACCATATTGGATTTACAATAGAGATGTGTTAAACTTTGAAGAGTTTTATGAAAAGAAAGGAAACAAATTAAACAAATCAAGTTCTAGGACATCTTTTGAAGGTATTAAAGATCAAGATTGTGAAAAATAAAAGGAAGGAATATAAAGTTAGTTTATTTGATCAAGCTTAAAATAGGTATGTTGTCATCTGTGGTAACCCTTAATGGATTCTTACTGATGAGAATTGAATGATGAGTTTTTAAGGATTTGTTTATAGATAAGAGATGAAATACTGGAAGAAGAGGTCATTTGTTGTATTTTAAGAGAAGGGTAAAGTCATTTCTTTATATATTTCTTTTCTTTTTTAAAGTATATTCTTATTTTTCTATTTTTTATTTTCTGCACATTTTTAAGCTTCTATTAGTTTTTATCTTTTTAATTATAATGTTTAATTACTGTAAAAAATCAAGCTCTTCTTAGAAAATGAATATAGAGAACACTTGTAATCCAGTGCCTTCCTCAGAAATTCAACCATTTGTCCCTGTAAAAAAACTGGGATAGAAAGCTTTGTAGAGAGATGTCTGGGAGCTATCACTTATTGGTAAATAAGTATTATATGGCATCAAATCCTTCATGGCAGCCATTTTGTTGAGAGCACCTATACCAATCTCTTGAATTATAAGCATACATAGAGAGAAATTGCTCACTTCTTTATTAAAAATAACATTTTGTGTTCACTAAGAAATCAGATGGGAGGCATTAAAATACCGGTTTAATTATTGGTCAGCATATTTATTTTGTAGAGCAGGGCTCTCCAAGCTTGGCAACTTGAAGACTTGTGGATTTCAACTCCCAGAATTTGCCAGCGGGCATGGCTGGCTGAGGAATTCTGCAAGTTGAAGTCCACAAGTCTTCAAGTTGCGAAGTTTGGAGACCTGTTATAGAGCACTGAAAGAAACTGCACAGGATATGGGTAGAGCTGCATTCAATATCTAAAGTGAATTTTTATATCTCTTATTCTGTCGTTTTGATATAAACTGTGCATGGGGAATTTGTGATGTTGGGACACACAAGTCTTTTTAAATCCCAAGAACATCCCTAATCCTTTTTACTTCTGATAAAGTTACCATTCTTTTAAGGGAGCATAGAGACGGAATGGTGCAATCCATTTACAGTTTCCATTTAACTGTGCAGATGTTACAAATATATCTACAGAAAGTAAGCTTTTTCATCATAGCCTCATACTCTGAGCCCAAAGGAAATGAAACCAGCAGAGAATGCTCCAACTTCAGAGATCTCATACTATACCGTGAATCGTGTCTGTCACCTGGAAACCAGAGTGCTCTAGGCACGATCGCATGGACAAGCCTGCAGCAGAGAACACATGCACATACAACTAAAATGGTACATTACCCTCAGATGACCCTTAACGCCACCCAACAAAACAAGTGTCCCCTTATCAGGAATTCTATATGCCAATAAATTGGCATTTGCAGTTATTCCTTGCTACCAGGTATTCAAAGCAAAAATTTCAACAGTGAAGGAGCATTACACTTACAGTATTCCACATATTTACTGAGTTACAAATAAAAAGTAGGAAGTAGGTATGTAATACCAAGCAATTGCAGTCAATCTATATGTGATTAGTGAACATCAGGTGGTCTTAAATGCTTTCTATTATATTAAAAATGAGACAGGCTGGTAATAACAACAGAATTCTAATATTTGGCTGCTAAAATAGGGCATGAGCCATTTCCTCTCCCTCCCACCCCACAGTATCCTCTTTATTTGGCTAAAATGGGATTTCTGCCACAAATAAATAATACACAATAACACAATTTGTACATTTTTGCAGTAGTAATGAGTAATTCTATTTATTCCAATTGCTTTAATAACTGCCTTTCAGATGTATACATCAACCAATACTATTGTTCTTTCTATTAATCTCAGATAAGCTGACAACTTTTTTGTAACTTACTTCCTAGCCTCATATTACACAGCACAGTGGCACAAAATAAAAGTTGGCTGAGGAATATCCCAAGTCTTTTCTGCATTTTCTTGTAGCCAACTTAAAGCAATATAATTGAACAGTATGTATGCACTGACATTTGTGTCTTCCAGTATTTATGATAAGCAAACTGGACTGTGTTGGGAAATAACCAGCAGGGCACTTTTTTTTTGTTTTAAGTCATTTCAGCTGGAATATGAAGGACAGGTAAGGTGTCTTCCAATTAGCACGTTTCAAATTTGGAATTAAAGATATGAAGAGTTAAAGTTTGGTCCTGAGAATTGAGATGAATTTGAAAATAGGAATAATTGTTTTCTGAATGCAGCAGTAATATAAGTTTTACTTCTAATTAAAAAGTTAGAAATTCATTTAAATTAAATACAAGGTGCCATTCTTAACTCTGGAGTCTTTATCCATAAAAATTAGTTAAGAATCTAAATAAAAAAGTTGTGAATATGCACTCTAAGATTACCATCAGCTTCAGATTTATTTTCATTTATTGATTTTTGAGATGTGATACTAGGCGAAAAAATCAGTTTGCTTATGCATTAAAAATAGTTTAGAAAGAGACAAATGTTTATACTGAGACCCTCAATATAATCTGAAAGTTTTACCTTAGGACTGTCTCTGCTTACTTAAACCTTAGTGAACTGCACCAACAAAAACAGTCATTTCACTGCCACTATGGAAATAAAGGAAGTTAGATATCTTCAAAAATCTTAAATACCAAGTGAAAAAAAATTAGGATAATACTCAAATGAGCAGCCAAACTAGGACCGAATCCAAAGATTCTGAATTATTTTCTTCATGAAAAGGCAGAAAATATAAAAATAGTTATTTTGGGGGGAAGCTTAAGCACAATCCAATCCAATTTATGATTCCGTAAGACTAAATATTCAGAGTACTATAATTACAGAATTTATGTCAAAATGCATGCTAGCACATATTAAAGTTCTGAAAACTCAGCTATATTTTCAAATGAAAGTGAGCATATCACAACCGGGCACTAATTTCTATTTACTCTGCAGACAACTTTTTAAAAATATGTAATCTTATACACTGAATAATAATAGCACTATAACTTAATTAATTTATTTGTAAATTAATGTAAAATACTTAACAGTTATTTTGAATTGTAGTTCTATTTTAGGTCACAGCAAATCAGCAACAGCAAAGATCTATTTCTTTGGTTATTGCCTTGCAAGATTTCCACTCTTGTTACTTTTAGTTTGCAGTATATAATCCAAGTTTCAAAGCATATAGTTATAATAAATTATACTCAGGATTACTCTCACTATACACTTAAGTGGCGTTTAATATTGAATTTCAATATATTTGTAATTCAGGAGTATTTTAGTTGTAAGAAATTGAATACAGTACTATCATGAGTACTCTTTTAAGCACCACATCAAAAGTTTGCACTAAGGATTCTTAATGGAAGGAAAGTTATATTACATTAATTTATCAAGTTTTAAACAAAATGTCTGTATCTTCTGTCACTACTGAACAATGTTGTGATGGAACACATCTTTACAGTCTTGGGATGATATATTACAAGAACTATTATTTCACTCTATGTCTGATTATCTAATCTGTAAACCTATCCAAAAGACCTAGATACTTTAGGCGGTATTATTGTCTTACTGAACCATTCTAGTCTATGAAAATACATATGTTTAGAAAGTAAATAACAGTAATACTCAATTATGAATAATGTTAACCGTATAGATATTTCTGTTAGTTAAACAACTGGAAATTTATGATTGCAACAATTTCTACACAAAAATAATTAACAAGCAATGGCTTCGGGCCAATTTCAAACCTAATTTCATAGTATTAGAAATGTTAAAACTGGTAATAAATACTTCAATGAGCAGGAAATATTTGTGACATTTCTGCCTCTCTTTTTCCCACTGGATCAATTCTAGGCATCTCACTTAAAAGCACTACTTGGGAAGAAATCCCTTGGCTTCTTCGGGATTTACATTAAATAAATAACCAGAACATCTTTCTTATGTAAATTCTGTAATGTTTACACAAAAAAGCAGCAGGACTCGCACCAATTGTTGGTGCAATATCTATATAAGATGGAATTTCATGGGTTCAATAAGGTTCAATATGTCCTTAAGAACATAAGATTTTAGCAATCTCAGGGTACTCCAGATTCTAGGGAGCCTCAATGAACTGAATTCCTATGAGGACTGTAACAATCAGAATCTAAACTTGGTATAGATAATTAAGTCACTGCTATTCATATTCTGATAACTGTTGGGATCAACTACAGGTAGTCCTTGTCTTATGACTGTTTAGTAACCATCAAACAGCATTGAAAAAGTGACGTATGACCATGTTTCACACTTATGACCAATGCCTTATCTCGTGTTATGTGATCCAAATTTGGGATCTTGGCAACTGGCATATATTTATGGTATGACAGCTGCACTCTCCCGGGGACATGTGATCAATTTTTGTAACCTTCCCAGCCAGCTTTTGACAAGCAAAATCAATGGGAATAGCCAGATTCGCTTAATGACTGCATGATTAACTTAACAACTGCAACCATTTGCTTAATAACTATGGCAAAAATGTTGCAAAATGAGGCAAAACTCACTTAATTGCCTTGCTTGACAACAGAAGCTTTGGGCTCAATTGTGGTCGTAATTCGAGGACTACCTGTATTGCATAAACTGTACTAACTTTATTAAACTTATATTTTATCTTTTCTCTAGAAGATCAAAGTGAGGTAAATAGATCTCCCCTCTTCAATTCTTCCCCAAAAGCAAGCCTGTGAGATATATGGGAGTTACAGAGAACAACTGTCTCAAAATTGCCCAGTGAGTTTTCATAAGTGGGGGTGGATTTGAATCTGGTCATCCCAATGCTGGTCTAAAACCAATTACACTAGAGAGGATCACCTATGAAAACTACCTGGAAACTGTAGACAATTCAACTTCTAGCTGTTCGGTTACTAAGTGGAAATGTGTTACTGATAAATAATTGTACTAGCTTCAGTTCATTTCTACTTCTAGTTAAAAGTGCAAAAAATACATGCTCCAAGTGCCTGGTGTAACACCTGCTGCCATATTTACTTGGTGGTACCTTCATAATCTTTTCCAGATGCCATAATCACCTGACATAAAGTAGAAACGACAAACAGCATTTCCATGAGGGAGTGGTAGGCAGGGACTAGCACCAATCCTGTTACCTTTTCAGTGCCAGGCATTCTTTAAAAATTATCCGATATTTATTAAGTCTTTAAATCAAAATTTAATCTCTTAATACATTAATTAACATTTATATATTCAAGCTATTTACATGTTTGATTGTACCTTAAGACTTTTTAAAATTACTTTTAGCGGGCATTAAATTCTTAGCATGAGAAATATAACTGTATTTTTATTATTATTTGCCCAATGCCTGAAAGCATACTTAGTGGCTGACAAGCAAATCAATGAACAGTAAAGAAAAAGAATCCTTATTATTCCAAAGGCCAATCCTTTCGATGAAGAGAATGTGGAGGCCATCTCCTGTGCCTCATACAGAATCTGCTTCCTTGTATTATTTCTAGACTAATCCATATCACTATATGATCGCTATAACGTTAAAAGGAATTAATATTAACACCTGCAAGTAGAAACATGGGAAAGGAGAAACTTGTATCACATGTAATGTTGCTTAAGCAACAATAAAGGCTTAATATGGGTTTCCTGCAAGAGTCGTTTTGGAAAACAATATGTAAGTCACTATTACTCAAAGCTAATGATTCAGTTCAGAGCCAGGGAGTGAACAAAATAACCAATGTTGTTTCTCAATTCAGGTCTGCATAATGACGAGCCAATAATAATAAGTGCTTAAGACAAGAGTTCTACATGGATTGTTGACAAAAGCTAATAGATATTTTGTATTTCAAACACACTTGAGATTTACATTAAAAACCATATATTTTAATGCAATAAATAAACCAACATAGGTAAATAAACCAACAGCTGAAATGCATATTATTCATATATACAATATGAAATCATTTCCCCCATTGTTCTAACAATACTCACCATTTGCAGAATTGCACCATATAAACGAAGAAGAATAGTGCGTGGTTCATCTGCAACAGTCTCTATAGTGTCAGGCAAAGAACACTGGAAAAGCATGTTGCTGAGGCCTCCTCTACAAAAAGAAATCATTTTTTAATTTAGCACAGGAGATGTCAGTATTCAAATAAAATTTGGACTGTATGATTGATTCTGAATGTAAGTGTGAAAAATGGATTCATGCTTTGGATTGAAATCCTAGATTCATTTAACTTTCTGCATGAAGACTTTTGGAGCAGAAAAAATCAAGTCCAATTCGTGGCCTCTATTTTGAACCCCAAATCATATTTCTTGCTTGTATTCAATTTGTCTCTTCCCATTTTCTTTTGTTAAGTATGGACAGATCAGTGCAGATACACAAAAGTTTATCTCCATGACAGACATTTATACTTAATCATAACCAAAACAACCATTTTGCAATTATACGTGGCATCTTTTTAGAATGTTAAATAAAATCATTGGCCTCATTTAGTAAATAAATTTAAACAACATTTATATTTGATTATAGTTGCAGATGATTTGATCTCATAATTATATATTTTAATAAAACCACTTTTATATGAACATATACATTTAATTATGTATTTACTCTGGTCCTGTTATTCAAACTTACATGATAGAAAGACATTAATAGCAGCATAATGGCATTAGCACAATAATGTATTCTGTTCTATGGACTATTAAAAATAGATTTTACATTAAAGAACTCAGCAGGTTCACAATTTATCTTCCCATTTCTTAGCTCAGGTAGTCCTCAAGTTATGACAATAATAGAGCCTATCCATTGTAATCATGTCATGATGGTTGTAAATTGAATCACCAATGTGACTGATCTGAATTTACAACCTTTTTTGTGGTGGTTGTAAAGTGACTGCCATGTTCTTTAAGTGAATGCAGCGGTCATTAAACAAACTAATGATTCACTATGGGCCAGTTTTGCTGAAAACAAGAGATAAATGATAGTTTTCAGCAAGACCAGCATGAAATGCAGTTATGTAACACCAAGATCCTGCAAACAGCCATAAATGGAGGCCAGCTGCCAAGCACCGGGGGGGGGGGGGGGGGAGAGGAGAGAGAAAGTGGTCATTGAAACATCAAATCCAGGTAGTAAATACCCCCAGAGAAGTCTGTCATATCTCTGAATGTCGCTAAGTGACCAATCATAAGTCATCCCCAATCCTTGTTTTTTGATCCATTCTCCCCCATTTCCCTCTTAAGACTAGAGCAGGGATGTCAAACTCGCATCATTACGGCAGCTTCACGTGACATATCAGGACTATTTTCCCCTTCACTAAACTGGACGGGAGCATGGCCAGCACATTTGACAGCCCTGGACTAGAGCCATTGCAGTGCCGTAGTATAGATTTCTGGATCAACATCTGGCTCAGAAATGTTCTGGGAATCAAGATGGCAAGCAACTAAAATCTAGGACTGTCCAGAAAATAGGCATTGGCTTACCTGAACAGTTTCTCAGCATGCCTTGGGAGAATCCATACATATGGGTTGAATCTGCCTTTCTGCCCAGAGATTGAGTCATCAATCTTTGCCACGCCTCTTCCTGTCGGGCTAGGAAGTCCCCATGCCCCAGTCACAATGAAGGCACAGCCATTTGATGATATTCTCTGTGGCATTGGCCCCGCCTCCCACCTGGACACCGGACCAGATGGTTAACAGGGTGGGAGTGGATTCTCTCAGGGCATGCTGAGAAACTGCGTTCAGGTAAGCCAATGCCTATTCTCCGGCATGCCTATGGGAGAATCCACACGTATGGGACATACCAAAGCTGGCAGTCCCTATGGGCGGGAAGAAGTCTGGTTCTATGAATCCCTGTCTGTATATACCCATTGTAGCACTCTTCTGCTGAAGGCCGCCTCTGCTGAGGCGTATGTGTCCAGTTTGTAGTGCCTTACAAAAGGAGACAGGGAGGACCATTTCGCCACCCTGCAGATATAAAGTGAGGCTTGCGTCACCCAGGCAGCTGTGGTAGCTGCACTTCTAGTTGAATGGGTAGTTACTCATCTGGGTACAGGAAGAGTCTGAGTCTCATAGGTCTTAGCTATACAAGCCCTGATCCAACGGCCTATGGTTGATGATGAGACTTTGGTACCCTTTAAAGACGGCTGAAATGAGACAAACAGGGCTTCAGTTTTGCGATATGTCGTTATTCTTTTGATATATCTGCGGAGTGCCCTCCTTACATCTAGTTTGTGCCATTTGTGCTCCGTATCATGTGGTGGATTGGGGCAGAAGTTGGGTAAGATGATCTCCTGAGCCGTATGGAAGCGGGAGTTGATCTTAGGGATGAAGAGGGGATCTAGACACAGAACTACCCTGTTTGTGTGGAAGGTGCAGAAGTCTTATCTGACAGAACGAGCTGCCAATTCCGATATGCACCTGGCCACTAAGAAGGTGACTGTTAGGAAGCGCAGACTTATAGATTAGGCTCGAACGGTGCCATAGTGAGGGCTTGTAGGACTGTAGACAGGTTCCAGGAAGGGTACCTGTGAATTGTTGATGGATTAAGATTGACAGCTCCCTTGATGAAGGTGCAGACCACCGGATGGTGGGCTAGGGACTCCTGCTTGCCATAGTGCAGCACTGTGGACAGGGCGGCTATCTGTTTGCGTACCGTACTGGGAGAGAAACCTTTGTCGAGTTCATCCTGCAAAAAAGTCCAGGATATGCAAGATAGAAGGCGCGTGGAATCCATGCCCTTTTTGGTACACCAATGATAGAACGCTTTCCAGGTAGCATTGTACATTCTGTTCGTGGAAGGTCTCCTGGAAGCTTGTATTGTCCCGATCACCTTCCTTGAAAAGTTATCCTTCCCCAGGATTCTCCTCTCAAGTGCCAGGTGGTCAATTGGAGCCACTGAGGCTGTGGGTGTTCCAAGACACCCTGGCTGAGAGAGATCCTGTCCTGAGGAATCCTCCAAGGACGGGACACTGACAAACTCCCTCGGTCCGCATACCATAACCGTCTGGGCCAATGGGGAGCGATGAGAAGGATTTCTGCCTGTTCTAGTAGCGCTTTCTGTATTACCCCCAGGATGAGAGGAAGAGGAGGGAAGGCGTAAAGTAGACCCTTGAGCCAGCAGCTGCGAAGGGCATTGACCCCTTATGCGCCCGGCATCAGGAATCTGGAGAAGAATTGGGGAAGTTGGGCATTTGTCGGAGTGGCAAACAGGTCAAGTACCAGCCTCCTGAATTTCTGAGGCATTTCCTGGAAGAGATCTGGATGGAGACGCCACTTAGGAGTTGTCCAGCCTGGTTTGGCTCAGGTAATCTGCCTGCCTTTGATGTCCCTGATATGTGCTCTGCCCTGATGGACAATATGTGAGCTTCTGCCATGATTCCCAGTTGTTCTGCTTCGGTCATGAGGGATCTGGAATGTGTCCCTCCCTGGTGATTGACATGTACTTTGGCCACTACGTTGTCCATTAGGATCAATATGTGTTGGCCAGAGGCTGTGCTTTGGAAGTGCTTGACCTCTAAGTGAATGGCTCAGAGTTTACATTGTGTTGTAGATCCGCTGGGGACCACTGTCCCTGCATTAGTTGGGACTGTAGATGGGCTCCCCATCCTTATAGACTTGCATCCGAAGTAACTGTCATGCAGTTGGGTTCCTTGAATAGGGACCCTTTGCTGATCGCTGGGGAAACCCACCACCTGAGGGTGTCCAACTTTAGGTGAACCCTGACATTGGAGATGCCGGTGCCTGCCCTCTGGAATGGCAGGAGAAACCATTGGAGGGGTCTGTCATGTAATCAGGCCCAGAGCACTATGGCTATGCATGAAATCATTTCCCCAAGGAGCTGGGAAAGCATCACCAAAGGAGCCACTTGCTCCGCTGTAATCTGACTGACCAGGGACGATGCTGTCCTGGAGCTCCTGGGACAAGAAAATGTCACCAAAGTGGTATCTATCACCACGCCTAAATGTAGTAGGCGGGTGAATGGAACTAGCAGGGCTAGGAATCATGCAATCAAAGGGAAATCTTTCGGTTTGTATTTCCTCTGCAGATGGAATATATTCCTGCTCTCTATCTCCCTCTGGTGACCATGCACTAATGGCTGCTGAGGGCGGGAACAACCAGGCTCTGGCTGGGGGGAGGAAGAATACCTCTCCTGTTCTGCTTGCTTCTGAGCCTTTATCTTGTCTGCTGCCTCTCTACTTGCAGATGTGACCTTCTTGGGGCTCTGCTTGGACCGTTTAGCACGTTTGGGCTCAATGCTGGCTGCTGCGTAATCAGCCATTGTGCCTTCAGCCCAGATATCGTGCTAGGAGGAGAGCTGAGTGCTCAATCCTCCAATCCTTTCCTTTCCTTTTGAGCAGCTCTTCAGCCCCGAGTGCCTTCCCTGGACTGTGGCAGTGGCAGCACTACCAGTTTCTTGGGGTAGCCTGCACAACTCACTATGCGGTCTACAAGCAAGATGGCGGCCAGTGGCCCTGAAAATCAGCTGTTTGGGGCTATAAGCTAAAACAAACACCTCGGAGCTACCCAGTTGAGCCTGGGCGCGCGAACAGCGCACTGGAGTCAATCACAGCTGCAGTTGAAGCACACACACACACACCCTGGAGGCGGGAGATAGCGATCAAGCTCTCCCCTGTTTGCCTGGGCTGTTAGGCCCTAATTGGTAGTTCAGGGTAAGCCGTGCAATGACAGCGCTAACAGCAGGCTGTAAATTTCCAATTGCTGCCTGTCTTCCGATTTTTAAAAAAACTTGTTCAAACCTTTGGAGAATCCACACATATCAGAATTGCTGCTTTTCGTACTAATCGTTGGAGCCAACCTTTGCCACATCTCTATAGGGTCAAGACTGAGTTGTGACTGGGACATGGGGACTTCCTGGTCCAACGAGAAGAAGCGTGGTAAAGATTGATGACCCAGTCTCTGGGCAGAAAGGCAATTCAACCCATATGTGTGGATTCTCCCATAGGCATGCTGGAGAAAAAGCAGTTCTGCATAAGAGCAGTGCTTGGGATAGAGATAATCTGTAGCAATCATATTACAATTTTAAAAGTTCAAATTTAGCATCTGACACACAGGAAAAATTCCACTATTCATTTTCTTTCATTTCGCCTTGATAAATTTACGATCATGTACAGCAGGGGTGTCAAACTCGCGACCCATGGGCGGATGCGTCACATGCTGGCCCCATCCCCACCCGGCTTAGTGAAGGGGAAAAAAGTCCCAATACGTCACGTGATGCCGTGACGCTGCGAGTTTGATACCCCTGATATAGAGGAAACACAGCCTAGTATCTATCTGGCTCTGTCCACTCTATTCTGGCCCTGCCTAGTTTTCGAGTACAATCTTTGCCACATAAAAAATCCATTGAATAGACTTATCCCACACCTAATAGCATTAATGGCCCCACAGATTATTATCAATAACATCTATGTTTGCCCCCAAGGTAGCACTATTTTTTCCCCAGACTTTCACAACAGAAGACAGCTTTCACGGGTAGCATTTCAAAGGTTGCCTTTTTGCTGAAAAGCAGAAGTGAGCAGCCTTTCTTTGTACAAATAAGAGTCTTCTGCAACTCTAACAATGTTTAAATATTAAATCCAGCAGATACTGCAGAAGCTAGGATGAACAGCTGCATTTTTAGTTTCTAAGGAATAAAGGGAAAGCAGCTAGTTGGAATCTCAAAACCAGTTGGCTTTTTCCAATAAGAGAAGTCCTACCTGTAATTCTCAAATGTAAAGAAAATTTAACAATTTGTTTAATGTTGAATTGGACACTCTATTGCTGCTCTTACTTGAATAATCTCAAATTAGACAGCATTGAAGAAATTTGACTTGAGAGAAAAATGTACAGGTAGTCGGGGGTTTCTGGTTCAATGTGTGAAGGGTGAAGGATGTGTATTTGTGTTTATTTTCATGGTCATGGTCATGATGTGCACTGAAGGTGGTGTTTGATTTCATTGTACGAGGCGCAATGACAATAAAATAAAGTAACTTCCGGGTAGCAGTTGTTAAGCATGGCTCATTATGCAAAGAGATGGGAGACAAAATCCTTCTTTCTCTGCCTGCCCAGACGGAAAGAAGAAGAGAAAGGAAGATTTCAGTGCAGTGCCTGCTTGGATTTCAGCAGGTAAGCTGAAATCTTTTGGCAGGGACCTCATTCAGCCAGTCCCAGAGACAGGAAGAATTATCTTAGTAGGGGGCAGCAGTTTGCAGCTTCCCTACCAGCTTCCCCATTGACTTTCTGGGGCAGTTGGTAAAAATTGCATATGGTGATCACATGATTGTGGAGTGCACCTGTCATAGGTGCAAACAGATTGCCAAACATCCAGACTGCAATCATAGGACCTTAGGGATATTTGTGGGAGTGCATTACAAGATGTAAAGCACCCTTTCTGAAGTTGTTAATTTGACCAGTTGTTAAGTGGGAATTACCTATAGTATATACTTGAAAAGTTCTTAAAAATTCAGAGATATTCAGAGATGTATCTGCCTTGAGAGTACTCATGGTGAACTATATAGTACAGTTCAACAACAGAAATTAACTACAGGAAATGTTTTATGACATTTTGTATTATGCCATAGATGTTTTATGATAAGTTTTATGTCATAAAACATTTTTAAAAAATGGCCAAATTTCAATGCCACAAGAGTCATCACTTAATTTTGGATGCATTTTGTAAGCTAGCTCATTTGAGGTGCTTTATTTCAAAACATTTTGCCCTGTGATGCACCTTTTCACCCAGTAAAGGTTACATACACTAGATGTCTATCAATTAGCTAGCCGTTTCATAAATACCAAAACTAGTTGTTAGAATCATCTTTCTTGACCATCATACCTGCGTGAAAGAAAACTACGGAATTTCTCATATGACACAATCCATACCATCTTCCCTTCAGAGAATCCTCTCTATTGATCAGCCTTACCCATAAGTTCATTTAAAGTTGATATTCTATTATAAACTGCAGTTTTCTATAGCTTAGAACTCAATTTAGTTGTCCTACAGCCGTGATGGCGAACCTATGGCACACGTGCCAGAGGTGGCACACAGAGTCCTTTCAATGGGCATGCGCACCATTGCCAGCTGCTCTTCTCGTTTCTGGCAAGCCAGTGAGCTGGTGTTCGCGGGTGCTGGAGTGCCAGAAAATGGCCCCAAAATAGGCTGTTTTTCAGGCCATTTCTGGGCCTTTTTCAGACTGGAAAACCAGTCTGGAAAATGGCCTGAAAATGGCCAAACAGGCTGTTTTCCGGGCCTGAAAACGGCCCAAAAATCAGCCTGAAAAATGCGCAGAAAACAGGAATGCGCACACCGGCCAGCTGGTCTTCAGTTTTCTGGTGCTCCGGCATGCACACATGCACGGATTCCAGTTTGGGCACTCAGTGCCAAAAAGGTTCACCATCACTGTCCTACAGTTTTGTTCTAGCCGCTTACTTTTCAATCTGCCAAATGAAACAAGTATCTTTAACAGCATACAGGTTTTGTCACTGAGTGCTATCACTAGTCTTAAGTATATAAAGGTATCAAGTGATCACTTCACCCATTCATTTGATATTTTTATATTTTGCTTCACTCTTTAAAAGTTAGTACTTTTTCAAATATCAAGTATTAAAGACTGCTAACAGCAGGACCGCTCTCTCCATTTCATAAATCTAATCTGTGATTTAATTTCCCTATACCAAACAACATCCACAACTGTAGGAATGAATATACTAATTACATAAATCGTCCATCATTTAAAGTTTTAAGAATGATTTTGTTTTGTCTGTGCATAAAGAGGAAAGCCTCTTAAATTCCAGTAGGAACTATGTAAATTTAGGTGCAACAAAGCAAATGTCAGAGTAGGGACTGGGCAGCTGTCTGTCATATATGCTTTAATTTGCTTTTCTAGAATGGGAGGGCTAGATTTGACAGGCTAAGCAAACTCTTCCAGCTATGCTGGAAAAAAACTTATCTGCTTTTATTAGGAAAAAAATGTTTTAACAGAATAAATTTCACCAAATTTTCACTCAACTCTTTCCTGTTGGTGAAAGCTGCTCTAAATTAACAAGGTTGCCACTCTAGCAAAAGAGAAATTAGACCAAAGTTCAACATTTCTCTCTGGTGCACAAATATAACTTAATATTCTAAAAAAAAAACCCACTATACTTTTCACATAATTCTGAAAACATACATAATAGCAATAACTTCTTAATCTTTATTTTCCTAACAATATAAGCAAGGGAGTTATTGCTGGGATTATGAGTCAGAGAAAGGTACCTAACATTTTACAGGAATTGCAGTTAAGAAATGACTCAATGCTAAGCAGTCTTATTTAAAAAAGGACATAAGCAATGCCCATTGCTTCATTGTCCAGAAATCACCCCATATGAGCCAAACTTTAAAATACCATCTCAAACTATGAATTTATCTCTAAAACATTTTATGCTACACATACTTGAAACAGTTGCTAATAATGACTGTTAAAAGTAATCAACCAATTTTATGGGACATTTCAAGGGTTTAACAATAAAACAAAATGTACTGTAGACTCATTAATAAAGATTGTTAAGAATCTGAAGTCATAAAGGTTTTTCCTCATACCAGACTATACAGGGTTTCGTAATAGAAATCATTTGCCTTAAGCATGCCCATGATTAAAAGTGACAGTCATATATTTTAAAAATTTGAAGTATTTTACTAGACAAAAAAGCATTGCAACATGTCAGAAAGTTATTGCAAATATATATATTCAAAAAACACTTATGATTATCTTCCAAGTATCACAAATTTTCTCCAGTATTAGCTAATCTAACAGAGAAGGTGTAGGCTAAATCAAACAGTCACTCTTCAGAAAACTTTATGTGATAACTGAATTTAAATTACCTTGCAAGTCAGAATAAAAGAATAACTGCTTGAAGCTGGGTTGTTCATTATTCATTCTATATAGTCTGGCAGGAAGTCTAAATGGGCAATCTTTCTACATTCTATCCTCTACAGTATAATAGTAAGTGTGAGGTCAAGATCAGAAACGTTTCAGGTGGTTCTCTTAATTATTTTCTTTGGTTTCTTTTACAAAAAAGCAAAAAATGTAACCTGGCTCCAGCATTAAATCGAGGTTGTTTTAGTTGTAACATTACCCACAAGTGACTTGTAATTGCTTGAAATATTGTGTGAAAATCATGTAACCACAGCTTGTTAAAGAAGCTATAGTTATGGATTATTAAATTGATGTCCAAATTCTGCAGCTGATTAACTATCCCCAAAAGCCGGTCACCCCCACACTTCCCCGTCTCCCCCCACCAACTAAACTGGCTCTTTTCCATTGATTATTTCCATGATGACTTTTTTGTGGCCCTTTAACCGCCCCAAACTCACCCCAATTCTTCCTTATCTGAGGGGAATATGGACTTGATGGCCTTTGGAGATCTTTAATGCCCTTCGTAAAGAAGGCGCGAAGAATACTTTGACGCCATCTGGTTATTTCCGCCATTTGAGCACAAAAGACACAAGGTAGACCAAACTAACAGCTCCCCACACACACACACACACACTTCCCTGTTTTGCTGAACAAAAAAAAAAAATCCCCCGCCCGCCCACACACACTACCGTTTTAACGTTTAAGAGGTCTCTCTTTTTCTCTCTCTCTGGGCTAGCCGACCGAAAAGCCGCGGCTAAGGCAACGCACTCTAAACATGCGGGGGATGTCATAAAACGGATGCCCAGAGACTGCCGCCCCGGTGGGAAGTGGCCGAGCCCCCCCCCCCCCCAAACGGCTGTTAAGAGGCCCGTGCCCTACCCCGATACTAGCGAGATGCTAACCTGATGGGCGTGATGCGCAGCTGGTCCTCCCGCAGCCCCCGCCACGCCCCCCGCAAGAACTCCCGGCACCACAGATACGCCTTGCGCCGGGTGCGGGGATCGGGCTGCTCCTCCGCCGGCAGGGATGGAGGGGTGGGCGGCAGAACGAGAGGCTGCGGTGGCGGCGGCTGCTGTTGGTGGCCCTGGCCCCGGAGCCCCAGCTCCTTCCCTTCGGCATCGGCGTTAGAAGATGGGGGCGAAGGGGCCGATTGAGTGAGGGCGGGGGGTAACACCGGGCCCGGGGCGCATCCCAGCAGGAAACCCAGAGGGGAAGAAGGATCGGCCCCGCCGCCGTTACAGAACTTGGTCTTCATGACGACCGCACGGATTGAAGAGCAAAAAAAAGAAAGAAACCGGAGGCTCGCGCACACCCAAAAGACGCCGACCGCTCCAGCCGGAATCCCCCGCAGAAGGTCTACAGCGCGCGCGACGGCCTCCAGCTAGTACTTATAGGCGCTCCGCACGAGGACGCCAGTGCACGGGATCACCTCATCTAAAAAGCTGCCCCCCCTGCCCTCCCGGCCTCTTTGTCTGTGTTGATTGGCTGCACGCCCGATCCAACCGCAAGGTTGCGGCCGCGACGCTCCCTGATTGGTCCAGAGGGAAGAAGCGGCGCGGAAAGATCATTGGCTGCCTTCCTCGTTGCTCTGGTTATCCGAACGTGGGGGTGGGGGGGCTAAAGGCTTACGCGTAACCCAAAGATACAAACGTAGAGAATGGAGAGGGGGGAGGACTTGAGGGGGGAGGGGGGAAGGGAGGTGGTGTGGGTACTTTTTCTATTCCGCCTGCGCCACAAGCGGGGCCTCAGCGAGTTCGCATTCCGCCCGTCCACTTCTCACCCACCCCCTCATAAGTAGCTCAGGCTTGGCCCGCTCCTCCATCTTTCATTAGCGTCTCCTAAACTCCATCACTCCCCTCACCCGCTCCACCGTTTGTGTGAATCCCCACCCCACCCCGCTCGCTTCACGTTTGTAAGGTTGACTCCATTTTCTTCTTGGCTCCATTCTTCTAACCCCTTTCTTCCTTACAGGCACGCGGAGTGCTGTAGATTTGGGGAGGGGGCAAAGGGGGCCGAAAGCTAACCGGAGGGGGTGCGAAGCGAGGGAGGGGACAGGGGCAAGGAAGGAGTCGCCCCGGCAGAAACTGGTGCTACGCGGTGGAAACCGACCGAGGCTGGAAAGCCCGAAAGGTCGCCACCCTTGTCCCCTTCTTCCCCTGAAAGAAGGTGGAATTTGCCGCACTGGACTCTGCACGATGCGGCAGGTCTTGTCTGGGGGTCCTGGGCAGCCCCGCGTCTCCTTCCTTTCAAGGCGATGGGCGGGAGCGCCTCTGCTCTGGAGCCAAGTGCAGTCAGCATCATCAGGCCAAGGGCACCGGGTTTGAGTACAGTACACGGCGTGCTCCGCTCCAGAGAAGGAAGGGGGAGGAAAAGCAAGGCGGTTGCCATCCTCTTGCGATTTTAAAAAAAGCGGAAAGTTACAACTCGTGGAGTGAAAATGAATTGAGCCTATTTCAGTGCGGGAAAGGAGCAGTTAAAACAACAACAACCACCCGGAGAAGCGTGTTGTGCTTGTTCTTTGCTACAGGTTTACTTGCGCTCCGTTCTTTGCGCTTTTTCTCTGGAGCAAAGGTGAGGCATTCACAACCGTCGGATTTAAGTCCTGTGCGCCCATCTTCGAGTGGGGCGGGAAATAATTCCTGCTTGAAATTGACTGCCCCCTGTCCAGCTTGCATTGCCGGCGTACTTAATAGTTGGCAATGGCTTGATTTTCCTCCGGGTTGATGGATGGCGAAAGCTGAGAGGTTTTATGTCTGTTGAGGTTGCCCTTGTCAGATTAAGGAGGAAAAGATTGCTACAACAAAGTTGCCTTAAGCCTTGTTTTGCTCGTGAATAGGGGGACGAGATGAATAACATCAAATGGGAATATGGGAGAAGGTGTTTTTAGGGGCATGTTTAGGCATCAGTTATTCTCTATTGGAAACCTATTCCACAAATGCCACTTCAATTTTTTTCTGCAATATTGGGCAATTTGTAGATGTAGGTGATTGACCTCATAATCATATGATAATTATGTCTCATTTTTCCAAGAGAGTAAGTAAGGAGTATTTCCCAATACTAGTTCCCTTTACATAAGGAACAATAAAGACAATTTCCAAAATAATCTTTGTATCTTGAATTGTGTCACTTCTACACTCCAGTTAAGGCTAAATTGTGAGTTATATTTGGTGTCATCTAAGGAAACAAACCGAAGTTTCCCTCCCTTGATTTCATCTAGAAATGACCCCAAATTAATTGGAATAAATAGAAAAGGAACATAATGCACTTCTATTTCTTGTTTATTTGTTCTTTTACATCTTGTTTATTCCATGCTTTAAAGTAACTTTTTTTTCACAGCACATTATACAGTATTCTATCATGGAATGAATGACAATGCACTAATGCATAGTCTAGCAGTTATGAAAAAAATAAAGATCATGTGTGAATTATGATTTGTTGTGTGGAGAGAAACTACAAAATATAGTATTAAAACTATAGGAACGTTTGAAGTGCTTTGTATTCCCTTTAAAAAGTCTAGTAAATATGTGCATATGTCCACAATTACTTAGCTACATACACAAGCATTAAAAATTAGTTTTAAAAACATTAAGCAGGAACATACATTTCCTATCTAAAGTTCCTTCCCCACACTTATCCAAATAAAAAAAGTTGCAAAACTGGTTCCACAGTTTTAAAGATACCCAATGCAAAACAGTTGAATACATGGATTGATATATGAGACTATGTGATTATAAACTGCTTAAAGATAGCAAATTGCAATCAAAGTCCATCATTCAGTATTGTCTAGTGAGGGAGGATTAGATTCAAGATAGGAGGTGGATAAATGTGCTGCATGAGTGAGTCTGAACCTGCAAAACTGAGAAATACCGTGATTCAAAGACCGATTGGTCATGCATCCTGGCATATTCAAGTAGATTTTTTGGCAGTATGGAAGTAACTTGTCACTGTCTTCTTCCAGCATGTTTTTTTGGACTTTACAATCCAGCTTTTAGTTTCATAATCTCTGCAGTCTTCCATCTGATAAGGTTGGCAGTTCTTTGCCCACTAAAGCATCTTCTGAGAGTTCTGAAGAGGATTAATAAATATGCTTCTAGTTCTCACTTTATTTCTGAGCAAAAGGAAGATGTTTTGAAAATCAGGAAGAGCTTGCAAACAACAGTTTCAAAGCAATACCTTGTCCATCTGTGCTTTTATGCACAGAAGTAAGGACTATTATTAGCACTGGAAGTGAAATTACTACTGTGCTCAGGAAACCTCTGTGAGAAAATGTGCTCATTCTCATTTCATTGGTAACAGCTAGCTTTCAACCCTTAGCATATTAATCTTTTATTTTAAAAAACTTGTTTCCTGTGTACTTTGTACAAAGTAGCTCAAGGTTGTACTTTGGAATGTTCATTTCCAGTTCCTTTGTATGTTTACAATTACTGTTACATTGACTGCATATTTAAGAGTGATTTATACGCAAACCCCACCCCGAAGAAGCCATGTCAATTATTTATCAATTTTGTTTTCTAGTTTTATAGACTACTTCAATTGTGAACATGTAATATGGAATAAAAAACAAACCATGCACAAATAGAATACTGGGAATACCCACTCTATTATTTGCAAATCCTGATCATCATCCACTGTCTGACAGAACTGAACATAGCATAAGACTTGCTATGATAACCCCATATTAATTTTACCAGAAAATAAACAGTGTCTCAGTCATAAAAATTGTTTTGTGGCTGCATAAATTCCACTTTTTATTCAAGTTATTTTATGTCATACTCTCCCAGGTAAAAGTGCTCCAAATGAATTCACATTCAGAACAAGCCCTTTTCAGATCTATGAAACAAATGATAAGATAGCTATTCTTTTTTATTACTGGTGAGCAAAATATTTCCAAGTTATGCATGTTGTTACAATATATGCTTGTTAAAAATAACGCTAATTATGAAGAATATGGAAATTTGAGCTGAAGTTAAGTATTAAGTATACTTTTAGCAGAATAGGAATTCCTGTTCCATCTCTCTTTGCTTCAACTCACTTTTCTAATTTTAATTTGGTTCAGCTAAGGTACTTATGGAACCTGCTCAGGAATGGAAGAGGCTGAGTTGGCTGGCATTGATGAGATGAAAAGAGCTAAGTGTCTCCATCTCACTTACCTGTAAGGTTAAAGGAGGGGATGCAGACAGCCTTTTTAGAGAAGGAAGTGAGCCCTGCTGGAAGTGGTAGAAAAAAATAGCCTTTTCTCTGACTGGATAAGCCCAAGTAAAATGAACTAAACATTTAGCTTCATGTAATTTCTCAAATGATTACTCGTGTCTTCCTGCTTAACTTTCACTTTCTTTTAGTCCTTTTTCTAACATCTAAGAAAAAGAAGAAAGAAACAGTTGGCAATTGAAATGTCCCAAAATTGTCAAAACAAGAGTCATCTGCAGCTGCTGTGTCTTGAGTGTGTGGAGGCTGTCATTGCTCCCATGACTTAAACACATTAAGTCTATACACACTTTGAAAAATGATTTGGACAAACTGCTTTGGTCTTTGCACACAGCACATCTCTGCAGACTTGATCCGCCCACTTCCACAGGGGGCTGGAAAACAGTTGCTGCTAATTTAGGAATAGTGTTAACTTAAATGAGTGGATTTCTTAAATGAGCAGCATCTCCCCCCCCCCCCATCCCCAAGTTCTTAAATAAAACCTAGTTGCTTTAATGAAAAAGCAGAGCAATGTTACGTTCCAATAACATCTAAGGTAATTCTTTGAAATAGTTACAAAACTAAGCCACAGCCTTTGTAGATATGCCCTGTTGCCTGTCTAGAAGAATATTCTGCAGACTCTAGGAAGTAACATAGTCTAACCTTTTTGTACTGTTTTTAATTAATTTTTAGAATATTGGCTTTTAACACATCTCCTAATTGGGATTGTGTGTATCTGAAATAACAGTTCTGTAGGTTGTTGCTTTTTTAAAAAAGAACAGATGGCTCCCTTGTTTACAGATACAGATACAACCTGTCCCAGGTACAGAGAGACATTAGATAAAAGGCATTGATGTGATCAGTCACAGAAAACTACATTCCCTGGTTACACTGTCTCCGCCTCTAGTTACATAAGAAGTAACTCAACCCGCATGGAAGAGATCTCTGTCAGTCTGTGGGTTTTCTGGCTGATGGAGACATTACCTTGGCAGGCCAAGAAGTTTCTTTTAATTTAGGTAGAATATGAGAAACTGACTTTAAATTATTTTTGGCCTAGCTTGGGGATAAAAGTTTTGCATCTCTTTTTGGTATGTGCCATCAAATACTATTACCACTGAAAAATTATGCATTTCACCAAATAATTCTAGGCTTCAGGATATCAAACAGCATATTTATTTATTTATTTAGCATATGGCAAATAAATGGACTTACAGTGGTTC